AATAATTAGTATATATATATATATTACGTTGGCATTTGTTATTATAACAGAAAATTAAATTAAAATGTTTATAATATATATATATATATATATATATATATATGTATGTATGTATATATATATATATATCTGTTTTGGGCTTAGTTACAGAATTTACACACTTCACATTGCATATTATAGTTATTACTGATGGTTAAGTTATATCAATTCACTAAACTATAAAAAAAAATCAAGCTTATTATTTAAGGGCCAAAGCTATTTTCTAACACATAAACCCTAATAATAGTAAAAATCGCTTTAATTAATAAGTTTTTCTCTACAATCTATCGTCAATCTGCCCATCAATCACTATTATTTACATTTCCGCTTGAGCTTAATTTCCCTTTGTTAACCAGTCGATGTAGGATTGCAAGGGGTTAATCTAAATATAGAATTAGAACTGAATAAGTTCAAAGGCTGCTCTCTCTCTCTCTCCACTCTCTCTCTCTCTCCACTCTCTCTCTCTCTCTCTCTCTCCACTCTCTCTCTCTCTCTGTCTCTCTCTCTCTCTCTCTCTCTCTCTCTCTCTCTCTCTCTCTCTCTCTCTCTCTCTCTCTCTCTCTCTCTCTCTCTCGTAAACTTGTTATTTTCATGGCGACGTTTTCAAATCAACCTATGACGGAGTCTTCATTTTCTTTTTTTTTTTTAAAATTCTGAGTTTTGGTTTTCAATGCAGTTCATGGATTTCATTTTTGAAAGACATCAGATCTCCAGAAGGACGATGATGCAAAGTCTTGTTTTAAAGCATAAGATCAGAGAAAACCGTCCTTATATTCCACGACACGACGGAGGGTCAAGAGGCTGCTTTCAAATAGATCACGTATAGTTGGGACCACAGCTTCAAGATAGGGTCATATTTTTAGATCAGAGTTTCAAGATAGGGTAACCTTGTTAGATCAGAGTATCAAGATATGGTCACATTGTTAGAACAGACTATCAAGATAGGGTCACATTGGTAGATCAGAGTTTCAAGATAGGGTCACACTGTCAGATCAGAGTTTCAGGATAGGGTCACATTGATAGATCAGAGTTTAAAGATAGGGTCACACTGTCAGATCAGAGTTTCAGGATAGGGTCACATTGTCAGATCAGAGTTTCAGGATAGGGTCACATTGTCAGATCAGAGTTTCAGGATAGGGTCACATTGATAGATCAGAGTTTCAAGATAGGGTCACATTGTCAGATCAGAGTTTCAGGATAGGGTCACTTTGTTAGATCAGAGTATCAAGATAGGGTCACATTTATTAAGCAGTATATCAAGATAGGGTCACATTGTTACCTCTGAGTTCCAAGATAGGGTCACTTTGTTAGATCAGTGTGAGATATGGTCACATTACTAGATCAGAGTTTCAAGATATTGTCACATTGTTAGATCAGAGTGTCAAGACAGGGTCATATGTTGAACAGCAGTAGAATGTAATCATAAAGTTGACGCAAATCCTCAAAATATGTAACCACTAGATGGAGCCCGCCAAACATTGGCGACAGCAATGAGTGAACTTCCCATCTACTAAAGTTACTTGACAAAAACGTGAACCCAAGTTACGCACATTTAAGAATCCACTTTTCCTCCCCCCCCCCCCCCCCCCCCCCCCCCCCTTTTTTTTTTCATGATACGTCACTGCAAACTTTTTATTTCACGCCCATGAACTATATTAATATTCTCATGTCCCAACCACTATTAAGCCCAATATTTTTTACACAATACTTAAATTGAGAAGATTACATTTCCGAAAAGAAAATATTACGCACCAAACGCAATTGCGTATGAAACATAGATATGTATATCATTTATCGTAGTTTTCGGGAATTATATTTTGCGCGCTAGTGAACTCATAATTATTATTTAGCCACACTCTGGCGCATCTATATATATCATGGGTGGTGGTGTTTGACCTTTGCTGGCGAATTATTAAACAACTCCTAGAAACAAAGCTTTTCGTATAAATTCTTTATATGCATTTATTATTTTATTTTATATTAATATTCTAATGTCCCACCCACTTTTACACTGCACATTTATTTCAACAACTATTCAAGAAAAAAAATACGTACCAAACGTTCTTGCAATATTTTTTTTAAAAAAGAATCTCATTTAGCGCAATTATCGGGAATTTTACTTTATGAAATTAGTGACATCATATTTCCTTCATCTTTCTCTTGAAAAACTGGAAAAACGTATTTTGGGGATTTAGGTTTGGGGCTGAAAAGTTGAAACAAGTGAATGAGCCAACTTTCAACTCGATAGGTTGACGGGAAGTGAGTGAATTAGCCGTCCGAAGATTTAGCCCTAAACACACAAAAGCGAGGTTAAATATAAAAGATGTAATCTTTTTTTTTTTTGATATAACACGTAGAATCAAGAGAAAATTGATGGCGAGCTTTCGCTAAATTTACGTAAATATTAAACGTAGATATTGTTACGGAAATGCAGAGAAAACGACGTTCTATGGCTAACATTATGGACAGCTCAAACTGTAAACGATGCTGATACACAGATCATATACACACCAAATGTTAGTGGACTGAGAACCTTTGAGTTATTAAAGCTAATCTCCAAATCGTCCAGTTTCAGGTCACGGGCGCTCCGCTCTTCTCTGGTGAGATTGAACACATTAAAGCCAGTCTCGTAACACATGGGGGCTCTTCGACTAAAATAGCGTTTCTCTTTGGGGAGAATAATGGCCTCGTCCAGCTACTGACAATGGTGGGGACTGCTTCTCTTAACTGAATGGGGATGTTACCATTCGCCATCATTACTTCGCCTCCGTCATTTAGCTGCCGACGACCGTTTCCCCCGACGACCGTTTCCCCCGACGACCGTTTTCACGACAAAGATAGATTTTTTTAAAAAAAAAAGGAAAGAGATAATATAGTTTTAGAAGTGATTTAAATGATGCAAAAAATTCAAAAAACGTGTGACAGCAGAGAACCGATTTTCTGAACGTCAATTATACGAAACGTTGATCATCCGAACTCCTTCTGTCTTTTTTATAATTTTCGGATGCAATGCGCATGGCATGGAGCATTGGTGTATAAGTATAACACAGGAAAATAATTCCCTTGAGTCGCTCAGTTCATTCTTTCCTATATCGGGTGGGCCATATAAAACCGGTACATCTCCGAGTAATCGGAAGTATGTCGCAGTGGTAGTTGTATGCCGTCTAGTAATCGGAAGTATGTCGCAGTGGTAGTTGTATGCCGTATAGTAATCGGAAGTATGTCGCAGTGGTAGTTGTATGCCGTATAGTAATCGGAAGTATGTCGCAGTGGTAGTTGTATGCCGTATAGTAATCGGAAGTATGTCGCAGTGGTAGTTGTATGCCGTATAGTAATCGGAAGTATGTCGCAGTGGTAGTTGTATGCCGTATAGTAATCGGAAGCATGTCGCGGTGATAGTTGTATGCCGTATAGTAATCGGAAGTATGTCGCGGTGGTAGTTGTATGCCGTATAGTAATCGGAAGTATGTCGCGGTGATAGTTGTATGCCGTATAGTAATCGGAAGTATGTCGCGGTGGTAGTTGTATGCCGTCTAGTAATCGGAAGTATGTCGCAGTGGTAGTTGTATGCCGTATAGTAATTGGAAGTATGTCGCAGTGGTAGTTGTATGCCGTATAGTAATCGGAAGTATGTCGCAGTGGTAGTTGCATGCCGTATATTGATCAGAAGTATGTCGTGGTGGTAGTTGCATGCCGTATATTGATCAGAAGTATGTCGTGGTGGTAGTTGCATGC